GTGAACTAGGTTCTAAATGTAACCCATGGTCCTTACTGAAATTTACTGCTGATTTGGAGACCAAAGCAAATGAAAGGAACTTAGCATGTAACAGACATGCACAGCTAGAAATGGATTTCCTTTGTTATTGCAACAACAGAACGATAACATGGACATCTCGCCATTTTCAAGATACTCTCCGTCTCTTCTGTAGACCAGAGAAGGTTTTTTTTGAGTATTAAACATAGATTCTCGTTAAGACTTTTGGTATGATAGTCACAGTTAGTGCTTGGAATGCAATGTTAACATGTTAATGTATATAACATTAGAGTTGTTGAGTGTAGAACAAATCTACAAAAAAAGCATTTGCCACTCAAAGTCATATAAACTTGAGATCTACTACTTAAATGTGATAAAGTCTTTGATCTTGCTGTTCACCCTCTGCAGAAGCAGAGCACAGACTGCTTTCTGCTAATAGTATAGTGCATTGTAATCAATTTTGTTCACTCAGAGCTCTTCTACAGCTCAGTAAGCACGCTTAATAAACCTTTTTCTGGAGGAAAGAAAATAAAACAGCAGCATGAAGCATATAGACTAGATTATCTCTAACTCATTGCCAATAATGGTACTCTCAGATAAACTAATAAACTTCTATGAAACCTCATGTATGAGAATATTAATTTAATATTAAGCAGCACGGTCAGATTTACTATGACAGTTCTGCTGCCCTCTACAGGTTGTATTCATTCTTAGGTAGGTCAGCTACTGTTTGAGAGATTTTCCAATAAGCATCCTTCTGCTACTCATGAGAAGCTAGCAACCTTTGCGTCATTGCCAGATCAGACAGAATTTGGCTTACTTAAAGCCAATAGTAGTTTTTCCCTTGATCAAAGTCAGTATTTTAGGAATTGTAACTTTATTATAGAGCTTTTCAATACAAACCCAAGGCAATTGTCTCTGTGTTTCAAAGAGGTCACAAATTAAATCCAGCTAAATGAGTCACAATGAAATCTTACGAAAACGAGAACAGATCATCTGTTTCCTTATATTAGAAAATAAGTGCCAGGCTCTGTTTATATTCTATTAACATCTGCGCATGTGTTCTAACCCATTCCTCTGAGCATTATCGTTATTGTACTGAAAGGAGCTCCTGATATGTAACAAAGCAGGCAAAAAATTCTTGAATTAATGTTTTCCTTACTATCATGCTTAGCCACAATGGTAGAGAAGGGATATGTATTTGCTAACCTATTTGCGTTCACCATGTATACTGCTGCATGTTTACAATGAATTAGCTTATTCTGTTCACTTGCGAGAGCTTCTCCTGTTTTTCTTCCAGCTCTCTCAAGGTTAGTAGGAGACTTCTACTTATCTCCAGCAGTCTGTGGGCAGTGGCCAACTCTAAGAGGAAAAAAAAAAAAAACGCAAAAAAGCTGAATGATGAATTCAGGGAAAATGCCCAGTTTTCAGGGCTTGGGGAGGTTTTTAGGGGGAAGAAGGGACAACCGTAAAGGAAAATACAGTTTGTAAGGCTGAATGAAAACTGATATATTTCTCTTTTTAATCCTACTCTTCCAGTTCTTCCTCCTCACTAGTAACTTAAAGATGATCTACTACATCAGCTTGAATCTGCTGCTACCATAAGCAGTCAGATTCTGAGTTAGTATAAAACTGTTCTATAAACTTTTTGGCCCAAACACTTATTTGTATGATGAGTTCTAGTCTTCATTTTATGTATGAAAACCTAGAGCAACTACAGTGATCTCAAACAAGTTCTGCCTCATTTGCACTGAAATAAAAGAGAAAAAGGCAAATGAAAGTTACACTGTTTCCTCTCCTGCTTTTGTCAGGTGTGCTCAGGTGAGTGATGTATAAACAGCTAGTCAATATAATATCAAACAGACCAGAATCCAGATAAAGTGGCTATTTGTTTTTCAGAAAAAAAAAAAAACCCTCCCACTATGATTAGTATCAAGATTTGCACCAATGTTGTTGATGGAAATAATCAGTCCACAAGCCTGTAGCCAAAAGAAATTACAGGGAACTTCTTGGGTATTACCTTATCAAGACTACATTGTTATAAATAATCACAGCTCTGTTAGATTTTGAAAGCCACAAAGCTTGACTGAATAGGGAGGAAGAGCAAATTTAAAGCCTCCCCCCAGCTGATTATTCTCACTTTAGGAACGTGTATATTCTGTAGAAACTTAACACCTGGTTTCCAGAGATGCTTTCATGTATGATAAGCTCAGTGGCTGTACAAGTGACCAGCTAGCCTGAAGCAATCAAGCAGAACTCTTAGTGAGCTGCTCCTGAAAGGATTAGTAGGAAAGTACTCTCTAACTGCAGCCCTGGAAAGCATTCCCAGGTAGACGCTGGTAAGTACGTAAAGAGGACAGAAGATTAGGGAACTGCACCTCCTGCAGAACTCCACCTGAATCACAGAAAGATCTCAGTATACGCTGTCACATTATGGGTCACTTACAGAGCACAACTATGGAAGTTCCATTATTTCATTTTCCGATAAGTTTCCCCCCACCTCCAAATACAAAACCATTTGTTTTTGTTTATTTTTGAGAAAGACTAAATACCTAAACTAACACGTGAAACTCAACTGACAAGTTCCCATTACCAAAAAACCAGAGACAAAAGTATTTTGCTACTTTAGTTCTGAAGAAGCAGTATCTTTGATAAGGCCTACAAACTGTAGATTAAAACACACAATAGAACAGTATTGATACAATACATGTATATGTGTATTTTATATATATATATATACACACATACACACACATAAGTCAGCAATAATACTCAAGATACTATTGCTATTGAAAAACAATATTGTCTGAGAGCTGCTTTCATTGGGGTTGACAGCTAACAAGTCAATTCATGTTGTTGTTGAAAAACTAAATAATTCTAGATTTTCAAGAAACATGAACTGGCTATATTATGAGTATCAAATGAGGTAACTACTCTGTGTATTTCTGCTTCTACCGGTTCTCCTAAATGCCCACTGAGGCAATTCTCACAGAATCAGAGTTGGATTAAGAGATTCTGCATCATTCCACTTAGTACCTATGCTCAGCCTAACTGTTAGGGAAGTCTATGCACTTGCCTGACACGCTCTATAAGTACTGCTGACTGGCAGTCATCGCTCCATAATTCCACAGCTTTAGTTCAAGTCTATCTTCAAAGTCTTTCCCTTAGTAAGAAGCATCTACACTGCAACAGATTAATGCAAGGAAAACAAAATCGGTTAGGAAGCACTTTCACTTGGCTGAGAATAAAGATCATTGAGAGCTGTCATCCGCTTTCTCTTGTCTCTTTCAAACTCAGAGTAATCACCTTGAAAGTTTGCCTGAAGAAACGTAATAGCTTAAAAACCTTATCTATTTTCAGGCTCCTCATAAAGTTTAAAATACAAGAGATGCTTAGCGTATGGGTCACATCTACAAACATCAGATGATATTCACAGAAATATTTAAACATGAAGAACCCACCATTGTATAACTCCATTCATGTCATAGGAGCTGCTTCTACTTGCACTTGGGCTAGTTCCAGGCACTGGTAAAGTTAACCTCTGCTCCTTCTTAAAAGCATTCCCCTTCTTTCTCTCAAATGTAACACTTCGTTACAGACAACTAAAAAAAGATTACAACTTTTGCCTAAATTCATTTAAATATAAAAATTACTCTAAGTCCAGAATAATACACTACGGGTAATAAACAACTACAGCTACACATTAAGGAGCTTTGTGTTTCCTCTGTGCAATAGAATGAAACAGTTCAAGGAGACAGGGCTAGATGTGCTCAGGTGCCCCCTTCTCAGAGAAGGTATAACCAGCCTTCAGCGGAGAGCATCCATCACTCACTCTGTAGGTTTGACTTGCGTGATTTGCACCAATAGTATAGAAAAGCGAAAACAACGTGTTAAATTTTGGAAATTCTCCTTGCACGAAAACTTTGTCAGTGAATGCACAGTGAAGTGAATGCATGCCAGTAAAACCCATAAGTAAAACTAAAGCTTGGCCAGTATGCAAGTGTTCCCATAGAATTCAAAAGACAAAACTCCAATTGATTGAGAAGAAACCCACTTATTACCAAAAAGATTGTACTTGGGATCTGTTTCAAAGGAGCTCCTCCCCTCTTTTCTCCTATATTTTACATTTTAGTAACTTCTGTTCATTTTATATCTTGCATAAAGAGGGAAGAAATAATTATATGCCTTTGGTGAAAACCGGTACTTCTCCTCCCTCCTGCAAATGGGCATGACAACTAATTTCCTCGCTAATATTTACTTATGGTATGTGTCATTCTCCTCTCTGTCAGTTTATTCTCAATAAAAAGTTAGGGAACAAAAAGGATTATGTTCCATTAGATATTTATTTATGAGTTGAACATGTTTCAACACTTGAAATTAAAGGTTTTTACTTTATAAAAAAGGTCATTCCAGATCACTGAAGTGAGATATTGCAAAGTCTAAGTTAGCAAAGCAGAACATCTACTTTGGGGGAGGGAGGAAATATGTCCACAAGAATGTGATTATTTCAATTATTTTACTTCAGCCATATATATAGCTACTCTATGCTGACTAGTCTCGAATATTCATGTGATCAAATTTTATTGGCATCAACACTTACGGAAGGTGAACTGCAGGGTCACATGCAGCAGCATTCATAAAAGCAACATTTTAGAGTCACATGGGGGAGATTTCCACAAAAACTCTATCACAGTTAACTTATAGAATAAAATACAATGAGCTTAATTTCTTCCATTAACTTTGATGAAAAAGCATATCGCAGTCTGTTTACTACAAGAACAGGACAAGATTACATTTTCCAGACATAGCTCTTCATCTAACTCTATAAATTAGCATCAAGCTTTGCCATTTCTGTTATTCAGAGCTGCACACGTTCTGCTCCTGTCTCATCGATCAAGTCAGCCTTTGGACTGTAAAAAAATTTAGGAATTATGGATTGGCAGATTTTTTTTTCTTTACAATTCACTGGAACAAAAAACAGCTGTTGACATGTACACAATTTTATTTTAAAGACACAGCAATCACAATTACAGAAACAGACCATTATTTTAATACTGTAAGCTTCCAGAAACTGTCTGGCAATTTAAACCACAGTTAAACCTGAAAGGCTTTCAAACAGTATCTTGGGGAAAAACACAGCAAACCTCAAATATATTAACTTCAAACTTCATGTGCTTATTTCCTTTTTTTTTTGGTAGCTGGTGGTAGTTAAAGTTCTTCAAAGTCATGGCCACTTGCATTCATTGCTTCAGGGTGCATTACCCTTCCCATAAATAAGACTGCACCTGTGGCAAAAAAAAAAAAAAAAAAGGGGGGGGGGTAGGAAGAAGGGAAGAAGTCAGAATCAAAAGAAAAAGGTGAGCTTATAAGATGACGAATACTAATATTAAAACCTAGAACATGCAGTGCACAATTTTTATGGGAACATAGGGGCATAGGGGTGTACGTGTGCATGCGTGAGAGTGACAGAGAGAGAAGAGGTACAATACAGACAAGAACAATTAAGTCCTCTACATATAAGTGCCTCTTAGCTTATTCTAAGGTCTTGATTCAAAGCCCACCAGAAACCAAAAGGAAGGTTCACTTTCATTTCGGTGCTTCTGGTAAAGGCCTGTGGAAATATTACCAATGCTGTCAAGTAAGCAGTTAAGCTAGTGTCGGCCTCTAGGCTGGAGGTTTCCAAAGGTGTGCATACCTATTCGGAATAGTTTTCTTAATCACTTCATACCCTCATATCTCTGAGCTGCTGGACAATGTTTCTCACAGTTAAAAGTGAGTCATAGAAGCCACCACACAATCATTATTTGATACATACTTGTTCATAGATGTACTCCCCGCTGGAACATACAATCCACAGCAAGAAATTCCCTATATGAATACTACTCCCTGAGTTATTTAATTACCATTTACAGTTTACATTTTTCATACACTTTCACCTAACCTGTTCAAATACAATAATCAACCATGAGCACTTATAATACTCTTGAGAATAAGAATAAAACCCATGGATTTCCATACACCTTTTCAAAAGGTTTCCAACCTTAGGTTTCTAAATTAGCAATGTGCGTTCTGGCTTTAAATGTAGCTGTTGGCTATACATCCAACAGCAATGCCTGTGAAACATTAAGAGTTGCCCCAAGGCTACCAACCTCTACTCTCTTCTGATTTAAACTTTTCTTTTTTGGAAACAAGGGAATCGAGCAGGGGAAAGAATCGACTCCACTCACATTTTTGCCCAACTATGTGACTGCAACAGCAAGGTTTCTCAAGTTTTGGTCGTTAGGGGCAACAGTCACGACACACTGTAAGCACTTCTACGACACCTTACCCACAAGGCACCCAACCTGATTAGAATGCAAATATTACTGCAATCTAAACAGTTTAACAAATATTGATACTTATGATGGTCATCTCAAATGCAATAAACCCCTGCAAACTGGAACTACTGATGTTTGCTTGTAAAACAGAAAATACCAGAACACAGATCCATCACAGAGTCTCCTAAGTGGCTGTGTAGTTATGTTCTATTTGTCATCCAGTTACATCCACATCATTAGGAAAGACAAATTACAAATATGAAACCAAGGAATTACTTAATCATTGCCCATTTCGCTAGTGAGTGCTGTATTAATCCCTTGCCTGCCACAGAACACTTCAACAGCACAACAGTTATTCATAGCTGTAATATCTGTCCATTATGTAAATCATTTGGTACTGCAAACATATCTTACTAAAGCCTAGCTCAATGATTACAGTTATTCAGGAGAGTAACACTGTTCTTTGAAGGAAAACAACTTAGTGAATTTTTCTTCCCCTGTATTTTTCTCAAAAAGATTACGAATATTCTTCTGGATGATGGGAGATGTGGGTGTCTTACTTGGTGAAATGTTAAGGGGACACCAAAGGAGATTTGCTGGAAAGAGTCAGTCGTAATACCAGGCATCAAGATGGATTAAGGAAAACTCATGCTACAAGACCAGCTCACTGATCAAAGTATGAAGTTTTCTCTTGCACACCTCTGATGGACTGTGAAAAATGTAGAAGTCTCACAGAATCTCACCTGTTCTTCTGTTTCTGACCAAAAAGAAGAAAGGATGATCAACTATAACTTGGGGATACAGCACTGCCATTCTACTAATGGCGATCATTCCTAAAGGAAAAAGAACATAGGCAACTTGTTAAACATCACTGCATCTTTTTCACATTTTCCTCTTCTTCATGGGAAATACTTCTAAAGCTCAAACAGACACTGAAGTCCCACACTCCAGCCCTGAGTGTCACCAAGCAGTAGCATGAACAACGTAACTGAAAATGAAAGGGACCTACAAAGTAATTGCATGCCTATTAATGCTTTGAGAATGATTAACAAGAGTGGCACAATTTATTTTCAACACTGAGGGAGCAGCTTATAAATTATAAGATCCAAAACCTTAAGAGGAGTTACGATGCCTGCTCACTTTAGAAAGAAAACGCATTATGTTAGGTCAGCAGTGCTGTCTGTTTTAAACAGCTCCAAGTCTGCATTTGATAGTAAGAAGTAACCCTTAATAACTAGAGTAAGCAACACCTAAATAGGCCGATCTTGCAGCTTTAGATTCCCTTGACTCCTTAAATAACAAAGGGATTGAGAGTAAAACTAACTAGCAGTCAGGCAGAATTTGGCTCTTCATTATTTTTATTTTATTTGGAGATGCGTGGATTTCTCCAGGGTGTTATTATTCCCAATGTGTCATTTCATTTTACATTTTGACTGCACTGTCAACAAAAACCCATGCATGCCAGTAATCTTTGTCCATAGTAACATTACATTCCAACAGTTACTGGTATTTATGACGATGGAAATCGTTTTTCCTTTCCTTAAAGATTGGTACAAGTACCGGCACAATTAGCAATCACCTAATAATCCCTGTTGGCAATTAATATAACTTATTTTCAGGAAGAGCATGTGACAACTATCTGGCCTTCTAGCATGAAGACTGGCAAACTAACCTTTTATTTATTACCTCCCACCTTACATCTCTGTGTATGAGCTTATTAAAATGCAACAGCAACTACTCTCAGTTCCTTCTAGCCATTCTAGAGCAAAGGCATCAGACTGTCTCAATTAGCAGATCATTACCCCAAATGACCAATGCTTAAGTTCCAGAAAGAAAATGTAAATTTCAGTTTGTACTCACCTGACACTTCGAAATAAAATAAGAAAGAGGAGCTTTTCCACAGAATGCTCAAAATTCTTGGTGAAACATACCATGTTAAGAAAATGCTAACATTTTCAATTTCCAGAATTCTCTTCAGAAAAGCAGCATACTAGCTGTGCTCTGTCTTCATGCTACTCAGCTTTCCTGGCTTTGCACCATGTCAGCTTTAAAATATTAACTAACTAGACATTTGATTTAGTTCTGCCTTTCAGTCAGATACCTGAGGCAGCAGCAGCTTCTGATCCTTCCTCATTAACTTCTAGGAATGCTTTGTGAAACGCCTTTCCAAGGTAAAGCTCTTTGTTTTCTGGAGAGGAAAAGGAAACATTTCAAGTGGGTCAGAGTGAAGTATTTAAAAGTACACCAACACTACTACCCACCTTTTGCACCAGGCAGAGGCAGGATAAAAGCTTTGTGTACAGGAGTTGCATGAAAATATTTTCTGCCCACGAAGGGCAGAAAGTAGTAGCATCATTTACCCTGTTTATATTTGTAGTGCTCCCCTATGCTATTAGTATTATAATGGCATTGTACTACCTAGAGCTCCAGCATACTAGACTCAGCATACACAGAGTAAAAGACAATTCCTGCTCAGAAAATTTTAAATTCAATAGTTTGGGGAAAAAGGATTATAAGACTCTAGGGTAAATGCTTATTAACAGGAAGAATTTTAACTTATTTCTGTATTAGTTGCAATATAGACTTCATCTGGGGGAAAAGGTTTTTTTCTTCGCTCTCACCACTACATATAAAAGAAACTGAAGATAAATATTTATTGCAACAAAACCCCCTGATTTTTCTCGGTTTTGTTTGTTTATCATCCTTCCTTCCCAGTATTTTAATGCAGGTCCAAGCCTATTCTAAATGATCAGACATATCAGAATACTCAGCACTTTGCAGGAAGCAATAACTTTAGCATTATTTAATCAGTCAGACTAAATTTCATTGGTAAGACACACCAATGATTAGATATACTATAGATATCGTACCTCCCGGAAATCCACAGTAAAGGCAAAGCACAACTAGCAGTTAAGAAAGAAAGAAAAGTTTTCTGAACAGGGACTTACTTATACAACCATGAAAACCCGATCCAGCAACCTCAGTAAGACAGCTATACCTTTTTGCATTTTTGAGCCTCAACAAACACCACTCAGCATGAAAATTCTAGCTGAAGGCCAAGTGAGAAGGGAAAGCTTGGGACTACTCTAATCATTAGCCGTTTATCTGGGCTCTTACAACTACAGCCAGCAGTTCTAATATTAATGTAAACCGTAACACAGGAGACAGCAGGTTTAACGTGCCTCTCCAGCAGATTTCACTACTGCTATATACGCTCCAAGACTGAACTGAACCTCATAGTTCAGCTGCTTAACTTAAATCTCAAGAAAAACCCCAAGTCATTCCCTACAGGACTGTGTGCAGTTAGATATACTAGACTGCTAAACATTGTACAAGTTCTAGGCTTCAGTTCCAAGCCTCCAGAAACATTATCTGGAAACCTAGGATTAATTGTCCAGTTGTATTATTTTAAAACATGGGGCATACAACATCTGCTTAACTTGTAGATTAAGCACAGTTCCAATAGCTTTTGTATCTTTAAGAGCTGCTAATAGACATACCAACTGAAAACATAAGGTGGTTACATTCAGATACTGAAATCACTTTTTTTTTTTTAAATAGAACATGCCTAAGGCTCAAAAAAAAATAAAATCACAAGTTAAATAAGCACCACAATCAAGCGTTAAAAACAATCATCCTCTAAAACTCACGTTCTTATGAATGTAGTAAGACTCAAATTTTCCAAAAAATGTTTTTACAAACACTAGATGTGCAAGAATATTTACAAAAATGATGACTGATAGATACCTAAAGCAAAAGAGGGCAACAGATCCACACTTATAAATAATTCCTGCCTTAGGTGTCTCATGTCAGGTT